TGTTTTTGACTCTTACGACTTGAGTTACTTTTCCTAACTGAGGGTGTCAGCTACTTATGTGGGCTTAACCCTGGATGACAACAAATTTCAAATTTGTAGTCATTTTAGTAGCTCAACCCACAATTGTTCTCTTGACTTCAGCTTCTTTCCTATGGGTTTATGATGAAGGGTTTTATTTTAAGGTTCGTGGTAGACCTCATACTCGACTCAATCACTATTACTCAGTGTATTCAAGTCGTATATAATTGAGACTGACAGGATGTTCAGATGGGTGGCCCCACCCCAAACCCACAACCAAACAAGGAACAGGGAGTAGGGCGGAAGCACACATCTTAAATCTTATCGACCTAAATTATATACCACTCTAATGCATATACTTAGTAGTAGTAAATTAATCCCATGAGTTCTTTCTCTTGATTCACGAACTAGATCGTGCCGTGTAAGTGGTCTTTCTGGAGGATCTACTGAGTAGGCCTCGGACGGTTATTGTCTTCCGGAATATCTGCAGTGCCTTTCGCTTTTGGTTTTAATGTCTAATGGGGTTGGTTAACAGCGCGTGGTACCCCTCTCCTGGGTACTTCTGAAGTTTGGATGAGAGAGACGACCGATGGCTCGCATTAGGTTTTCTATTAGGTTCGAAATGAATTTTATTTGACGCTTAGGATAAGGTGAAAGTTCTTTTTACACAGCACTAGGAATTCTCGCATGGTCGAACCAAGTCGAACCGTGGCTGACGGTAGTGTCGAAATTAACGAACATCGACATGATATGGAATGGATATTGATAGGACCATGTGCTAAGTAGAGCACACAAGCTTTTAGCGTTTCGGGTTCGTCCATGGTATTACTACCGCGAATACTTGGACCGACATGACTGACTCTGAACGCTAGGGGTCCTGATACTTTGGAAAGATGTACTTTTCATGAATAGATTTCTCACGAGGCCTCTCTATAATCGCCTAGTATAAACTAGTCATGTATAATTAAGATTAAAAGGACTGTTGACTGAGCGACTCCCCCTAAATCCACAACCAAACAAGGAACAGGAGATAAGGCCGCATCACTCACTCGAGGTCTATCAATCCTAATTATAAATGGCCTTAACGTATATACTAAGCCATCATAGCTCTACCTGATGGGTTTTTAAGTTTTACATTAGTGGTGCGACTTTTGCCTTAACAAGGGAGTAATTACATTTAAAATTGATTTTTAAAGTTTTCGATTAGCTACTTAAGGTTGAGAAGCGTACCAAAATTCTACCGGGTTCCTTGATGTTCCTCTAGGTATTAGGGTTAAACTCCTCATGCGTCTTTGTCATTTCTTTCAGTTGGGCAGTCCCTCTTGAAATGCCCAATTTCACCACATAGGTGGCATATTGGACTGGTCCCAACGTTGGTGGTTGATGTAATGAACTCAACCGGAGTCCTGCAGTTGCGAGCGGTATGCCCCTTCATGTTGCACCTAACGCAAAAGGGTTCTCGATAGACTACATAATGATGGTAGTCACACTTGCTGCAGTGGGGGAAGTTTCCTAGGTATGGTCTTCTTGGTGTCGAGATAGGCGGGTTGACAGGGGTATTGACTACCTCAGCTTGCTGCCCTTCGGAAGGTCCTTGGGTCGAGGTACTCCCTTCCTCATTCCCAAACTTTCTTTTCAGGGGATTAGGTTGGAGTTATTGGGTGTCTTTACACACCGGTGCTGGTTGCTGTTGTCCATTGCTATGATCGGGATTCCCGATAGTACTCCTGCTAACATTTGCGTTGTTAGCATTCAGGTGAGCCATGACAGCTGTTACGGCTGCTGAAACTGCAACTTGGAACGTAGCTTCATCGATCTGAAGAGTCAGTGTCTTGCTAGCGGGTTGGTTACGTTTCGTCGGAGGCATGGTTTTTCCTACACGATGAGGAACACAAGTTGATGAGAAACGATGGTTATCCCTAGACGTATCTTTCTTTACTATAATAGGCATGAATTTTTCCCGCGCTTTTGAGCTATGGTTCTCTAAGGGTCGACCTACATCCCTATGATGCAGTCCTGGTAACAGGGTTGAAGTAAGTGTATTGGAAAGCCATAAATCGGGTGTCGTTCCAACTAAGTTATCTTTGTACTGGACAGGTTCACTCTCCGGCTTTGAAAAGATTTGAAAGAACTTCGGAACGAAGATTACACAAGAAAAGGCTCATGAAAGTTTAGGGCTAAACACTCTCAATCGAGATTTTGTGATCCGATCTATTTATCTTAGTCGCGACAGGAAAGACGATTTGCCTAACACATAGTGTGAGTAGTGTAACCACTAACTCACTAAGTTGTATTAATTTATGGGTTATTAGTGTGACTTTATAGGGGTAGAACACTTCTCGGGTTTCAAACATTGACTCCTTCTATTCTCCGTTTACTCTCGACTGGAATAAACGTTGGTTTTCTTCGGGTATTTAAATAGGGTTCTCTTTTCCTATAGACATATTGAATTTCCGCTCCATCTTACTTCCGATTCTGACTCTGATCGTCATCACTTCCTAATGGAATCTCGGAAGTTCAGGCGAATTTCCCACCGATGTCCCTAAAAGGTATAGGCACATGGTGATTTCAAGAGTCTCATCAATGTTCATTTATTTCCTACTTGGAAATCTTCTCAATGAACCTCTTCTGGGTCTTTATCGACTCCTCTGCCGATTACTGAAGTGGATAAGATTTTCTAAAGGGGTTTATGCGAGAATGGGAATGTCTAAAGAATCTTAAAAGAGAATTAAAACATTTTTATGTGTGATCCATATCAAGTCCTTCTACAATTACCTAGTGTACACAAATCATATATAACTTGGATCTAATAGGCCTTCGAATATGTGATACTACTCTATATCCACATCCAAACAAGGAAAAGGAAGTAGAGCGAAACCACACATTCTTAGTCTATGAGATCCTCACTATATATAACCTTGGGAGCATACACTCTGTAATCATAGACCTATCAATAAGGGTCTTTTTACTTTTCACGCAAGGTTATTTATGGTTCCTAAAATACTCCTATAGCATTTTAATTACATGTTTGATTCTAGAATTTCTGGACATGTTTTCTGGTTTACTGTTAGTCTATAGTATCATAAAATACTCCTATAGTATTTTAAACTTTATCTTTTGGCTCTAGCATTCCTATATGGTAAGTTTCTGATTCATTGCAACACCACCATCACTCTGAAACACACGTTAGTTGCATCTCGAATAAATATAATTGATCAGGCTATATTTATTCCAGCTACGATTACATAACTGCCCAGGTTTGACGGTAATGGTCAACATCCAAAGACTTTTATTCTTGTTCTTCTTGTGATACTTGTTCGGGCTTTTATATTCTGGATGTATTTATACTTCTATAAAATAGGGTTATATTTTAAAGTATAACTCTTGGTCAGAGTGTTTTTATCCCATTGTATTTATAGGTTGTATATCTTTTATGATTTGATATACTGAGTTTACTATAAACAATGCTCTGATACCAATCTGTCACACCCCAAAACCGGAACGGCGGAAAGAGATTTTAGTATTTTACAAGAGATTTGAAAACAAGATTTGAAAACCTTTAGCTGGATAAAACAGTTTAACATGCAAAAATCTATTTGCTTGACAGTTATTAATCACATGTGATTGATATAATAACTTAATAGTTCAACTTGTATCCCCCCCATAAAAGCATTTAAAATCATTTCAAATGTTGATTAAGGGGTATGAACTCACCTGTAGTGAGTGGTTTGGATGGAAGTGCCGGATAGGATGATAAGTGTCAATTGAGGACTTGAGCACACACGGATCCTATGTAACATATAATGACACATATATGTATCTAATTAGTGTTTAAGCAACTAATTATGCAAGAAAGGACACCCTAGGACATGGAAAACACCTTGATTCGAGTGTTAGAAGTAGATAGGGTTGCATCTAGGGGTTGTAGGTCTTTGCTTTTGAGTTTATGGTCCAAGAGTAAACTCTCAATAAGTTTATGGCCAAGGGTTTGCGGCCCTAATGGGTTTACGGCAGTAAACCCATGGTAACTTCTACCATTTTGATGTTAAACGTCCTATACTCCTCATTGAAGTGATCTAGACTTGGTTCCAAGGCTTTAGAAGGGACTAGGGCTCATAATGGCCCCTTTATTAGGGTTTACGGCCCAAGGACCAACTCTCATGGACTTTACGGCCTAGGGTTTATGGTCCTAGTGGGTTTACAGCCGTAAACCCATGGTAACTCCTATCATTTGGTGGATTAAAGTCCTTAGCTAATGCATGAAAGGTTCTAATCCAATATCCAAGCCCTAGGAAGTAATGGTGGCACATATGCACCACCTAATGGTGTTTACGGTCCAAGGAGATTGCCTTGGCCGTGAACCCATATGTTCTTGGGGATTCTTGGTGTTTTTGAATGGTTTAACAAGTAATCTAAGCACATAACTAGTTAAGAGGGGTGTACTTACTTATAGGAAGCTTGTAAGAGTGTTTAAGGTCCAAGAACACTAGTGTGTGTTCTTGGTGTTCTTGGTGTAATGAAGAACACTTGAAGATCTATGAAAAAGAGAAGATTTCATGGATGAAATCATGTATAACTACTAGATGAAGTGTTGTATCAACAAATCAAGAGAGGAAACACTTACATTTTTAAAATATTTGGAAGAAGATCTTATGATACTTGAGAGAGAAAGTGGGTGTTCTTGAGCTTGGAAGTGAGAAATGAGGAAGGAAAGGACTAAACTCATGCCTTAAGCATGAGTTCAAGGCCAAAGGGGAGTTCACGGCCCAAACCCCTCATGTTTGGCCGTGAACACCTCATTAGGTGTTAAGGGTTTTATTTGTTACACAATAATCCTAGAAAATACTTCCTTTCATTTGTTCTCTCGAAGAATTAATATTAAAAATACACCCAAACGGACTCTAAACCGAGCTAAAATTTAGCAGAAATGAATTGACTTTTAATTGAAGTGCTCGACTGAAGGGTTCGTACAAATGGAAATTTCAGGTTGTCACAGACACCACCGAGACAGGCTCTCCATGACGTGCCACTACCTCTCGCATAAAAATCTCGGCCAACTTCTCTGCCGAGATGATCTCCTGGATCGGTATAAAATGAGCGTTCTTGGTCAATCGATCCACGATGACCCATATCGAATCAACCCCACGTGCGGTCCTGGGAAGCTTTGTAGGAAAATCCATAGTGATATCCTCCCATTTCCACACTGGAATATCTAACGGCTGCATCTTGTCGTGCGGCCTTTGGTGCTCCGCCTTGACCTTCCTGCAGGTCAGGCACCTCTCAACATACCAGACGACGTCCCGTTTCATGGAGGGCCACCAATAATTCGGGCGAAGATCCCTGTACATCTTTGTCGCCCCTGGATGGATGGAGAACCGAGACTTGTGGGCCTCATCCATCAACACCTGCCGTAGTCCTCCCCAGTACGGTACCCAGACCCTCCCATGCAGGGTCGACAATCCTCGACTGGCATAATCAAACGAAGCCACTCGACAAACTATCCTCTCGCACTTCTGGCGCTCCTCCTTCAGGCCCTCAACCTGAGCCTCCCTATTCTTCTCCAACAGTGGAGTAACTACTGTCATCCTCAAGCAGATATCTCGAATCGGAGCCGCTACCGCCTTGCGGCTCAGGGCGTCGGCCACTACGTTGGATTTTCCCGGGTGGTAGAGGATCTCACAATCGTAATCCTTTACCACGTCTAACCACCGACGCTGCCTTATGTTCAGATTCGGCTGATCCATGAGGTACCTCAAACTCTTGTGGTTCGTGTAAATAGTACAGCGGACCGCATATAGGTAGTGTCGCCAAATCTTGAGGGCGAACACTACAGCCCCCAACTCCAAATCATGTGTCGGGTAGTTAGCCTCGTGATGCTTCAACTGTCTTGAGGCATAAGCTATCACATGCCCCCACTGCATCAACACTGCTCCCATACCTATGATCGAAGCGTAATAGTAGACTACAAAGTCATCTACTCCCTCTGGCAGGGTAAGAATCGACGCCTCGCACAATCGCTGCCTTAGCATCTCAAAGGTTGTCTGCTGCTCAGGACCCCAGCAAAACACAACCGACTTCTTGGTCAGTCGGGTCAATGGTACTGCTATCTTGGAGAAATCCTGGATGAATCTCCTGTAGTACCCGACCAATCCCAGGAAGCTTCGAATCTCGGATGGCGACCTCGGGACCTCCCACTGCATCACGGCCTCTATCTTGGCCGGATCAACTAATATCCCCCTCTGGTTGACAAGGTGCCCCAGAAACTGCACCTCGCGCAACCAGAACTCACACTTGGAGAACTTTGCGAAAAGCCTCTCCCTCCTCAAGGTCTCTAACACCTCCCTCAGGTGTTCCTCGTGCTGCTCCTCTGTCTTGGAATAGAGCAAGATGTCATCAATGAATACTATCACAGACCGATCCAGCATCGGCCTACACACGCGGTTCATGAGGTCCATGAACGCGGCAGGAGCATTGGTGAGCCCAAACGGCATCACCACAAACTCATAATGACCATAGTAGGTCCTAAAAGCGGTCTTCTGCACATCATCATCTCTGACCCACATCTGGTGATATCTAGACCGTAGATCAATCTTGGAAAACCAAGATGCTCCCTGAAGATGATCAAACAAATCATCTATCCTCGGGAGTGGGTAACGGTTCTTCACCGTTACCTTATTCAGCTCCCAGTAATCAATGCACATACGATGCGACCCGTCCTTCTTCTTCACAAACAGGATCGGGGCTCCCCATGGTGAACTGCTCGGCCTGATAAAACCCTTGTCTAGCAGCTCTTGCAGCTGCGTAGACAACTCCTACATCTCGGGAGGAGCCAACCGATACGGTGCCTTGGCTATCGGAGCCGCACCAGGAACCATGTCAATCTGAAACTCAACCTGTCTCTCAGGAGGTATCCCAGGCAAATCCTCCGGGAATACATCCGGGTACTCTCGTACCACTGGTACATCATCAACCGTCGCCTTACCCTTATTCCGAGTATCCATAACATAGGCGACGTACCCCGTGCAACCCTGCTGGAAATAGCGCCTCGCTCTCGCTGTTGCACAAAGAATCAGTCTGCGTTGTGGCCTCTCGCCCTGAATCACTAACTCTCCCCCACTAGGAGTGCGAACCCTCACCAACTGTAGCTCACAATCAATCACTGCTCTATTGGAACACAGTCAATCCATACCCACTATAACCTTGTTCCCTCGCAGGGGAATAGGAACCAAATCTATTGGGAACTGCTCATCAAATAACTGCAGTGTACATCCTTTATGAACTCTTGCGACCCTGATGGTCCTATCATCTACTATCTCCTCGTCGAGTGGATAATCCAGCTCCCCCGGAGCCCTGGTAAATCGCTTGCTAAGCGCGAGCGACACAAATGATCGGGTAGCCCCCGAATCAAATAATACCATAGCTGAGATGCCGTTCACTAAGAACGACCCCATCACCACGTCAGGAGCTGCTCGTGCCTCCTATGCAGTAAGTTGAAAAGCCCTGCTCCGCACCGCAGGCACCTCAGTCCGGCCCTGACGGCCATCTGTAATCCTCAAGGTGGCAGGAGAAGGTGATGCCACCTTCCCTGCTGTTGCTAAGCTCTGACACTAGGACCTCTTGTGTCCCCTCTGATTGCACTGAAAGCAAATCAGGTCTGAAACTGGTGTGGGGGTGGTAGTAGTTGTACAATCTCGGCTCATGTGACCTGTTCGGCCGCACTTGTAGCAACCCGAACTCCCTGCCTTGCACGCACCCTCGTGCATCATGCCGCATTTGCCATAACGACCGTGGCTCTGCTGGCTCCGAGATTTAGGATCTGATACCTTGTGCTTCTTGCCCGAACCTGCTGCACCAGACGCCACCTCTGGCTTCCTCTTCCTCTCCACCTCTAGGTCAATATCCCTCTCACGAGCCCTTGCAATCATGTCCTCCAGCGTCTTGCAACTGGAATGGATCACAAACTGGCGGATATCTCTCCGCAACATCTCATGATATCGGGCCTTCTTCATCTCCTCGTCTGTCACATACTGCGGAACGAGAAGGGTCCTCTCCCTAAACTTGGCGGTAATCTCCGCCACAGTCTCTGTCGTCTGCTGGAGGTCCTGAAACTCCCTAGCAAGATGTTACACCTCAATTACAGGTGCAAAATCGGCCCCGAACCTGGTCGTGAAATCACTCCAGGTCATCGCATCCAACACAGTGTTATCTCCAACGGCTCTCCCGACCTCCTCCCACCAATCTCGTGCCCTGTCCTTCAGAAGACAGGATGCTAGTCTGACCTTGTCCCCCTCGGGACATCTGCTAGTGCGGAACGCGTTGGCGACATCCGCCAACCATCTGGTACTCGCAATGGAGTCCCGAGCCCCATGGTAGTCGGGAGCTCCACAAGCTCTGAACTCCCTGAAAGTCAACGAGCACGATCCCATCTAAGCCGCTATCTCAGTTCGAAATACGCTCAGCTTCTCATCCAGAAGCTCTAAGATACCCTCCTTGACCGACCCGAAAATCACAGGGGTCTGGTCTAGTATGTTGCGTGTGACCTCCGAGGAGATAAACTCCCTGGTCTGATCATCTAACTGTCCGGCTCCAGAACCCGAGACTGATCCCTCCCCGGCACCTGAACTGCCTACTGCTGGTCTGGGTCGTAAAACCACCATTCTGAAAATACATCAAAACCAAGTCAGAATACTACTCATAACTAGAGGGATCACCATTCTATCTGTACTTTCCTCAAGAACTGCCTCCACTCCACCAAGTCCCTTCTACTACTACTACTGATCTCATACTAAACTCTTCCTAGGCTTGCCCTAGGGAAATCACCAGTCCACTCTCCGCCATCAGCTGCATAAGAAGTCCCTGCTTTCCTTCCCTAACTAGCTTGTGAATACTATTACATATTACTCACACTAGATAATTCTTCGAATGAGAGTTCCTACTCTATAACGGTTGGACTCAAACAAGAGCTGCGAAATAGGGCTAGACCTAACCTTCTAAAATTATTTAGTCCTTGCAATATGTAACTTAACATATTCATTTTCTAGGTAGCAAAAGATAACTAGAACTCCTAAGAGCACAAAGCAAGCAGCATTCGAGCATTGAGTGCATATAGTCACGCATATGCTAATCAGGCTCTTCATACTGACTAATCTGTACTAGCATGAAGTTCATAGAGCTGAGATACATATAACAGGCACATAAGGTATCCTTCCTAGATCCTTAGTCCTAACTAGCAGGCAATTCTCATAAGCTGATAAACATATAATAGGCACATAAGGCATCCTTCCTAGATCCTTAGTCCTAACTAGCAGGCAATTCTCATAAGCTGATAAACATAACATAACATAAACTTGTATGGGTAATTTGGGAGTACTTACTTGAGCTCAGCTGATTGCATGCACCACACCCTTTTTCTTTTCAAAGTTATTTTCTATTTTCAAAATCCTTTTTGAAAAAAAATGATTTTCTTTTGAAAATTTCATACCACTTCCTTAGTTTGAGTTCAGACACACCCGAAAGTTTGCTCGAATCCCTCAAACCAAGGCTCTGATACCAACTTGAAACATCCCAAAAATACCACCCAAAAATTTCGTTTTAAAAACAATATTAAAACCATCGTTTCATTACCAAAGTATCAATATCATAAAATACGAGTTCAAAATCCCATAATATCCATCACATGCCAAATCTCGTGTCAAATATCATTTCAAAATATCAGAGTAAAACTCCCAGGTTGAAGACTGTGGTGTGTGCCATGCGATCATCCAGAGCCCTTACCTTTGCTAGTGGAAGTACCTGAAACCAAAACTAAAAACTGTAAGCACAAAGCTTAGTGAGCTCCCCCAAACTACCACATACCATACAATAACACATAAAGCACATAATGGGCCTTGCCCACTGCATCGGACCAAAGTCCGGAATAACTTGGGCCTTGCCCACTGCATCGGACCGAAGTCCGGAATAACTCGGGCCTTGCCCACTGCATCGGACCGAAGTCCGGAATAACTCGGGCCTTGCCCACTACATTAGACCGAAGTCCGGAATAACTCGGGCCTTGGCCACTGCATCAGACCGAAGTCCGAAATAATTAAACATAACATGTAACATAAACATATAACTACTGCATCGGGCTTGCCCGACATTGGACCGAAGTCCGGAACACAAAGCACATAACATAAACATGCATGAATCACAAAGACATCAAGCATACATACTACTTCTCGGGATCACCCCAACATCAGACCAAAATATGGAACTACTATATCTAAACGGGCTGACATTGTGGCCGTAGACCCGTTCCTAAAGGAGGAAACTCACCTCGTGTAACTGGCTGTTGAACACTAAGTGGAAATATCTGACTGTTGCTCCGGCGACTCTCTGGCTATAATTTTCACAATGACACTTAGTCAGAAACCGACAACTATCCTTAGGGTAAATTGACCATTTTACTACTGGCTAAAGTCCACATCCTGCTCAAAGTCAACTTTCCAGTTGACCGGACTCGTCGAGTTGGCTCGCCAACTCCCCTAGTCCCAATCCTTTCATCTATCCCCAACTCGTCTCCATTCGTCGAGTTTAGCAAGAATTCGATGAGTTCTCCTTCAACTATAACCTTGGGACAAACTTCACCTGACTCGCAGAGTTCCTTCATAACTCGTCGAGTTTATCTTCATCATATGAACGTGTCTAGTCTTTGACTCGCCAAGTTGTATGAACAACTCGTCGAGTCCGTCTTCATGAGTTGGGAGATGGCCTTGGACTCGTCGAGTACGTTCCTGCACTCGCCGAGTCTCATGGTTTCCAGATCCATGGCTTTGTCCATTTCATTGCGTCCCTTCCTTGGACTCATCCAAATCCCTTCTGAACTAAAATAGGTTCCTCTGAGTCATAACAGTTTTGGGAACCAACTCACGACTCGCCGAGTCCCAAGAACGACTCGCCGAGTCCATGCATGTTCAAGTCTAATAATTCGATTTCTGATGTGCAAAACTCATCCAGAAGGTAGATCTAGGCTCCTAAGATCGGTATAACACGTAAAGCCATGAACTTTACGTTCATGCATGGGACTTTTATGCTCAAAGGACCAAAAGTGGGGTTTATTTCATTCTTGGAGTTCTCATGGCCATAAAGATGGCACTTTTATGCCATGAGGACCCTCCAAGGTTCCAGATCTGTGTGTAAATCGACTTGGGACGTCCAAGTCCCAAGGATCAAGCTCCTTGGACCCAAAACCTCATAAAGATGACTACAAGGAGATCTAAGAAACTACAAGTCAAGTATGAGGCTTGATTACGAGAAAGTGAAGAGAAGCTGATATTGTTCCTGGATCTACAATCTTCTCTTGAAGTCCTCTTTCTTCCTCTTCTTCTCACAAGCTTCAAATACACCAAATAACTCTCAAAATCACAAAGAAAGCTTAAGTTCACTTATGGAGGATTAGGCTTTCGGGATTACTGCTCTGGAGGTGATGGAGGCTAGACAAGAGGCCTATAATGTTGCTTAAATAGGGTGCAAACCCTAAATATTAGGGTTTCCCTCAGACTGGCCTACTCGTCGAGTCAAGGCGTGGACTCGCCGAGTAGGTCACTTAAACGCACGTCCAAACCTGGCATCTACTCGACGAGATAGGGCTACAACTCGTCGAGTAGATCTTATAACATGACATTTAATGAATTCAATACGTACCAGTTCGAGCCATCGAAAATGACCCTCCCACATAGGTTCATGAGCCTGAAGGGATTGGGTTGGAAGCATTATTTGGGATAGACATCTAAAAAAGAAGAAGAACAAAGTTTAGATTAGATGATAATCCTTAATATTATTCCCAAATGAAATATTAAGGCTAGGACCCAACACAATATTCTACAATTGCGAAAAGGGATGTCGTAATCCAATTGTAAAATATTTGAAGGTAGGTAAATGATGATTTATCAATTTCCACCATGAAAAACGAAATAGATTATTAAGTTTTAATTGGATTGAAATTCCTAGATCCTTTGAAATTCATTGAACTTTCAATGGCATGTTTAAATCTCGATTGTGCCCTTCAAGTTTGTGACTGGGATGCCGAGGATCACAAACAAGGTGTGAATAACCATGCAAATTAGCTTGGTCCACTCAATGTTACAAATCACCTAATCAATGTGTCGGTTAACCATACACGCTCCATTGATCTATGATTAACATCAAGCTACCCTTTACCACAAATTATCAGTCCCAGATTAGTGTGGCGGTTAACCACACACGCTCCACTAACGACTTAACAAGGTGCAAAGTGTAATTTCATGTATTAGCACCACTTTCAAATTTTCCTAAAGTAACTAAGATTGGGAATTTAAAAAAAGTTTAGTTACTTTATATTTATCATTATAATTTAATGAGGATTAATGTCCTATGCTACCCGTTCGGCTAATGACCCTCTATCAGTCAAGGAAGCGGTGGGTGAGAGTAGACA